GGACATCTGGGCGCTAAGAGAACTTTGGCACGTGTAAATCAACGGTTTTATTGGCCAGGAATGAATGCCGATGTCAAACGCTATTGCAAACGTTGTGACTTATGTGCGTCCCGCCAGAATCCCCATACAAAACCCAAGGCGAAATTGCAGCAATATCGGTCCGGTATTATACTTGAACGAATCGCGTTAGACGTTTGTGGGCCGTTTGTCGAAACAGAGCGGGGCAATAGGTGTATCCTTGTAATCTCAGACTACTTCAGCAAATGGACCGAGGCGTATGCTATGATCGACCAGACAGCGGAAACAATATCTCGAATTTTAGTTGAAGAATTCGTGCTCAGATTCGGCCTTTTCCGCGAGATACATAGCGACCAAGGTCGAGCTTTCGAAGGTCGAGTGTTCCAAGAAGTATGTAAGCTTCTTGGAGTTTTTAAGACCCGTACAACTCCGTTCAACCCGTCTAGCGATGGACAGGTAGAAAGATATAATAGAACTATGGAAGCTATGCTCTCTAAATACGTAAACCTCAGTCAATGTGATTGGGATGAGCATCTGCCGTATGTGATGCATGCGTACAGGTCCTCGGTGCATTCAACTACCGGTGAAACTCCCAATTTCTTAATGTTTGGGAGAGAACTTGAAATACCAATTGACATGATTACGCCACCGCCCGGAGATGAAGCTGAATGTGACACAGAATTCGCCGAAAATATCCGAGACAAAATGCGGCAAGCTTGGGATCGTGCCCGTGCCAATACGACTAAAGCCCAAGTAACGCAGAAACGGGAACATGACGCCCGGACCTCTGTTAAAATGTATAAACAGGGGGATCCGGTGTGGTTGCATAACCCAAACAAAGTGAAAGGTCGCTCTCCCAAACTTCAACGAAGGTGGGAGGGGCCGTTCATGGTGACCCAACGGTTGTCAGACGTGACATACCGTATACAACTGAAACCAAGGTCAAATCCGAAGGTCGTACATCACGATCGGCTGAAGCCTTATGAAGGCTCGAATTTCAAAAAATGGGAGGTTAAGGTAGGCCTTGATCCCAGTGAAGAGGAATGTAACCACGGGGAATGCATCTCTGAAGAAATCACTGGGACGCGTGAGAAGGACACCCCCGCAAGTCCCATCGTCGGTGAAGCCAAGTCGGCGATGCGTGAAAAACCTACCAGGGTCAAAACCACTCATCGTTCAGGGCAAACGAATTCAGATAAAATTTCGCCCGCTTGTGATCCAGCTAAATCGATGGCTGCTGGAGAACTAGGTATAGTTACTGCTTCCGGAAACTCGTCAAGGCCTAAACGTAAGGTCAAAGCGCCAGTTAGGTTCGGTTGCGAGTAACGTATTTCATTGATGCCTGGGGCCTTTGAAGCATTATTACACTGTATTTTATGTCTTTCCGGTTGAAGGGCATGCATGTATTTAGTTAGTCATTTACTGTAGTTTAGTTATATATTCCCTATAATGATTGTTTGTTCATGTTAAAAACCCGATCTAAAATTCCGGACTATGTATTCAAGTTCGATATTTTGGTTCGCGTGTGTGCGTGGTTTATGGATATCGGTATCTCACAGGATCAGGATCGCTGATCACCGTTTATTGTTATTTTCGGTGTACATTAACCTGTGCAGGTGTGAATGTCTGCGTGTTCAATGGTGTTTAGTTCATTGATCCGCTAAACTTTGGTCTAGTATGGGACAGCTGACCGCCGATATCGCATGCACAAAGATTTTTATTATTGTTTGCACAATGGCTGTTCTGATTGATTGTATAAATGTGGTTTGCGGCAAGAGACCTTCTTAGATCGGCCGGTCGTAAGAAAATACCTTGATCAAGGTTCGTTAATACTAGGGTTGTGTTGGATCATCCCAGATAGTTTAACTTATCACATCGCGAGGAGTGCAGTCTTGTGACCCTAGCCCATGGGTTGGCAATACATAAGACATGGAATCGGGTGTGGTGCTTCCGGTGCCTGTGTAGTCGGAATTACCCGGGATCCAGGGGAATTCACTATCGTGTCTGACCCACACGATGGGGTTTCTGCTGCGAATCGTTATACAATTTAATCGCTAGATTTGAGAACAAATGTATAGAATACGTCTACATTGTTTCTCTGGAGATCGAATTATATTGTCTGGGACGATATGAGCAGTCGTGTTTATCCTAAACATAATAGTTAATCTCAAAAAGAGTTACTTAATTCCAATTCGGGGCTAAGTCTGTCTGGAGAACATATCGAAAGAAACGTCGTGCAATGAAACAGATGCGTAACCAATAAGTGAAGTAACGCCATGAAGTCACTTATTTCAATAATGAAAGTTGGCGTAATTCATGATAAATTCTATCCGCCTATCGTCGGTTTATGTTTTTATTTAGCGGTTACGGCTCCGTTAAGTTTGCATGGACATTTTTATTCAGCGGACTGTTAAATCAAAATATATGGTGACTCAGAATAACCTCATTACATATGTGGGCAAATGCCCCGAATATTTTGCAACTATTCACGCCAAACAACATCGGGGAATTTGAACAAAATATATAATCTTATATTCTACATGTTAGCTATTATTCCGATTTGAAATGTTATTATCCTTTTTTGAATCTCGGGCTAGTTTGCATGTTAAAAACGACTCTGTGTGTAATTTCCTTCTGTTCCGTGGGTCATGATCGTGCAGGGTTATAGGAAGTTATATAACATTCGAAATTGCATTCGTGTTTTGTCAGTGATCTTGGCGGAACTAAACGTATTCGCATAACTTAGGCGTTGACCCTATAGGGACAAAACTTCCTATATTTATTTATCATCTACAGTGCGTTGAGCGACATCGAAGAGTATTAAGTGTATCATATGATTTCTGTATAAACTTACATAGTCAAGAGTAAGAATTATTTCGTCCTCATACTGAAGTAATCTATAACATCATTTCATTTCGTTTCTGGACGTGTTACGCTTGTAAAAAATAGAAGATGCCTTGTTTCACGGGACCAAGGAAGTGCATGCTTTGTGGGGAACGGTTCCAAGACCAGCCTGGTCTTGTAATGCACATGAAAGCCTTCCACAGGGATGTGCTCAACGGCGTTCCAGACGAGGGAGAAGCAGTATGGGGCCGGCGCCACACGGAAGAACGACAGAGGGGACCAGATGATCATCGTAGGAGCGGAGTCTCCCCGGGGCGCTACCAGCCCCCCGAGGGGAGCAGAAATGGACGAATGGATGTGATGAGCAGCGGTTCCTCAGAGAAAGTCTCCCCGGGGCATGCCCAGCCCTCCGAGGGGAGCAGAAGAAGACAGCCGGGGAGCGTGGCAAGTAGCGGTTCTCAGGAGGAAGTCTCCCCGGGGCATGCCCAGCCCTCCGAGGGGAGCAGAAGAACACAACCAGGTGGCGTAGCCAGCAGCGGTTCTCGGGAGGAAGTCTCCCCGGGGCATTCCCAGCCCTCCGAGGGGAGCAGAAGAACACCACCAGGGGGCGTAGCCAGCAGCGGTCCATCAGAGAAAGTCTCCTCGGGGCATACCCAGCCCTCCGAGGGGAGCAGAAGACGCAGAATATCAGGGGGTAACGGGGATGACGTCAAGCGCCCCAAAGTAACTGTGGTTAATCCAGAGGGCCAACAGGTTCTATCCCCTCACACAACTGATGATGTAACCCTTCGAGAGGGGCACGTTATGGAAGATGGGCTGGAGGCGGTCACGAGGAAACAGGTTACCGTGGATGTGCTATTCCCCGGTGACCTGGAATTCCTCCAGAAGAATGGCTACAGAGTGAGCAAGATGGTCGTTGTAAAGGAGAAGTACTTTGAAGGAGAACTACAATCCCGGAGCAAGGAGGTCCTGGACTTAATTTAGTTTCTGTTGGACATTTTATATTGGACTCTAATTGCAGCATATTATACACACATTGGATTAATTAATTAAAATATGGACATTTAATTTCAATACCAAACTTCAACATTTATTTCCAGGATTTAACCCTGATGAACTTTATTGGATTACTTACTACATACTAGTGTTATTATATAACGTGGACACTTTCATTTTATTATATTTTTATGAGCTCTGCTTCCTAGATGGAAATGATTACCGTATGAACGCCAGGAGTCGTTCCATCTTGGGAGGGGGCTATGTAGAGAACACGTGTCATAGTGTTCTCTGTCAATCATTGATCAAGGCATTTTTGTAAAAGCCAGTGTATGAGCCACTCTAACTTTGGGGTTACTTGGTTAAAAGGGGAGGTACTTCCTTGTCCAGGAATGTGATTGGTTTGTTCATTGAACTGATACATTAAACTGTTACTAGATATACTGGGACAAGGAAGTACAACTTTAGTGTGTTTCTTAGCAGTTTTGGGGAGGGTTGTTTTCACATTCTAAATTTGGGTGGGCTTTTTGGCTTTATTTCATATAACTCATACACTGGCTTATTTGGACATTATTGTACATTATTTGGTAAGTTTGGCTATAATAGCACATTAAATTGATATAAACTTAACTCATATGTTTTGTCATTTATTAAGGGTAAATTCATTCAGATTAATTATATTCCCAAGACTGTACACACACTCCGACACCGATCCTAGCCTACTCCTGCTGCTTGCACAGGGAGCTTGGTATCCTCACCCGGGGGATACAGGTCCGAAGATGGTCTCCGCTCGGCCACAACTTCAGTAGGTCAAAGGTAGATACCCAACCGCCAAGCTGACCACCCCTATAGGGAAACCAGGGGAGGATCAGGTGGGACTCGAACACATTCGCGGTGCACCTAGTGTACATTAGGCTAGCTTGCTAGTCAGGCCGGCGAGTCCCCCTCCTGCTCCCCACGATTCTTTACAATATTCCCTGGGAAAACAGTAGTATTATGGAATAATACTGTATATTGTATAGTAACATGAGGAAATCAGACTTTGGCCATCACCCCCCTCTGGTTGAAATGTAGCTATTTATGATATCAAGAAAAACAACCATAAAATGAGTGAAATACATCACCAATATATGTTAACATACCAGTAAATCACTCCACTCAGTTAGCACCTCAGCTATGTAATGAACTGTGTTCAATATTGCACAAAAGCGCTCTCCTAGTGGATTATGCGCCTCTTCTTTCATAACTTGCAACAGTCTTATCCTGAAATCATCAAAAAGCTCCAGCTGGACATCAAGAAACCGCAGCTTATGATGAGGGTAGGGTAGTGGCTTGTAGCGATCTGAAATAGATCAGAAGAGTATGATCAACAGAGAAAAATAATCAAGTACAAACATGATATAAATTCAACATTACATTTTCAATAGCAAACAATATTGCCACATTCAACTGACTGAAACAACCATGTGTCAACCATCAAATTTTACCTCTGCAATTTTAATTTTTGACACTGATCATCTGTTATCATCCGCCTATAATAGTGTTTTAGATTAAGTGGCGTACTTCTTTATTAAATGCATTATGTTTCTATTAGAAAAAAATTCATGATGAAAATATTATTGAAAGATTGTCTCTTTTCAGGTTACCTGTGATTGTATGTGCAAGTGTAACAAAGCTTTCACCACACTCCGGCACCTTCATGTCATCAACATCGGACACCTCCTTGTATTGAAATTCCCAGGCTGTGTTCGATGTCAACATCATATCTACTTTCTCTAAAGCAACTGGAAAATAATATAACTTATTACACAACAATGTAACTTCACTTATTATATAAATATGATCAAGGTTTTACACCTCCTTGTATTGAAATTCCCAGGCTGTGTTCGATGTCAACATCATATCTACTTTCTCTAAAGCAACTGGAAAATAATATAACTTATTACACAACAATGTAACTTCACTTATTATATAAATATGATCAAGGTTTTACACCTCCTTGTATTGAAATTCCCAGGCTGTGTTCGATGTCAACATCATATCTACTTTCTCTAGAGCAACTGGAACACAATGTAACATGTAACTTATTATACTTGTACAATGTAACTACGTATTAACAACAAAAAATAGTACTGTGGGTACTGGGCTCACATGGTGTTGCTCAAAAGTGAATGATGGCTAAAATGACAGAAAAAATGGATAAAAAACTTTTTGCCGATTTTTTGTAACAAAATTATTTCAAGCCACTTGCCACTATTTTGGACTGACTGAGAAACAGATGGACAAATCAATGTTAAGTAAAATGGCTGAAAATAAAAAAAAAGGATATAATTTTTTGCCGATTTTTGTAACAAAATTATTTCATACAACTACTCCTTACATTGACATAGATTTTTACAATGCAGGACACCTGAAATTATTTGTAAAGCAAGGAAATGGGTCAAAAGTGAATTTCGCGAGACAAAAATGGTGGCCATTTTGAAATTAGGCGAGCTTTTGAACCAGGAGTCATAGGGGAGTTTTCTGTATTGATGTTGAACAGAAATAACTTAAAACAGGAATCCTAACGACAGAGATTTTAAAACGTACCACTATTGTTGACGGACGGACGGACAGACAGACAGATACATAGATATGTATGTATCACATACATATCATATACTCATGGATATTGATATCTGCACTCTCTCGCTACGCTCGCTCGGGCAGATATAATATCCATTCGTGGATAAAAATCATATCACTCATAAATCATAGGATGTTCTTTTTATTATTCCATAGTTAAAGTCATCATGAGAATCGTCAGATATTAAGTGATTTAATTCGAATTTTCCAAACGATCCGGCGATGTTAACACTTAGCCTCGTTTTGAGTCTGAAGTAGCAAAAATCCATAATCCATAGCATATGGTGCCGTATGTCATGGCTAAAACACCGTATGCTATGGTTTAGTGAAAATTTGTCAAAAATATCATATTTTACCACTGATTACAAAAATAAAATTTTTATTTTGACATGTTATCCTATGAATATCATGCTAACTGTGGAATAAATACATATATATGTATATTCAATCTTTGACACTTCCTTGTATCGCAACTCCCAGGCTGTGTTTGATGTAAACATCCTATCTACTTTCTCAAGAGCAACTAGAACATAATGTAACTTATTATACAATGTAACTTATAATACAGTGTAACTATTATACAATGTCACTACTGTATACATCTAATCAAGGTTTGACAACTCCTTGTATTGAAACTCCCAGGCTGTGTTTGATGTTAACATCCTATCTACTTTCTCAAGAGCAATTAGAACACAATGTAATTTATTAAACAATGTAACTTATAATACAGTGTAACTTATTATACAATGTAACTTATAATACAGTGTAACTATTATACAATGTCACTACTGTATACATCTAATCAAGGTTTGTCAACTCCTTGTATTGAAACTCCCAGGCTGTGTTTGATGTTAACATCCTATCTACTTTCTCAAGAGCAATTAGAACACAATGTAATTTATTAAACAATGTAACTTATAATACAGTGTAACTTATTATACAATGTAACTTATAATACAGTGTAACTATTATACAATGTCACTACTGTATACATCTAATCAAGGTTTGACAACTCCTTGTATTGAAACTCCCAGGCTGTGTTTGATGTTAACATCCTATCTACTTTCTCAAGAGCAATTAGAACACAATGTAATTTATTAAACAATGTAACTTATAACACAGTGTAACTTATTATACAATGTAACTTATAATACAGTGTAACATTCAATGTAACTACAGTATACATCTAATCAATGTTTGACAACACCTTTCATTGAAACTCCCAGGCTGAGTTTGATGATAACATGGTTTCTACCTACTTACAGATGGACAAATCAAATTCAATATTAACTAAAATGGCTGAAAATAAAAAAAACGGATATAACTTTTTGCAGATTTTTTGTAACAAAATTATTTCATACATCCACTCTTTACAGTTACATGGCTTTTTACAATGCAGGACAACTGAATTTCGCGAAACAAAAATGGCGACCATTTTAAAAATAGGTGAGCTTTTGAATCAGGAATCATAGGGGAGTTTTCTAGATTGATGTTTAACAAAAATAACTTAAAATGGGAATCCTATCGACACAGGTTTTAAAGCAAATGGTCCAAATGTGAATTTCACGAGACAAAAATGGCGGCCATTTTGAAAATCAGTGAGCTTTTGAACCAGGAGTCATATGGGAGTTTTCTGTATTGATGTTGAACAAAAATAACTTAAAATGGGAATCTTATCAACACAGGTTTTAAAGCAATTGGTCTAAGAGTGAATTTCGCGAGACAAAAATGGCTGCCATTTTGAAAATAGGCGAGCTTTTGAACCAGGAGTCATAGAGGGGTTTTCTATATTGATGTTGTACAAAAATAATTTAAAACGGGAATCCTATTGACAGAGGTTTTAAAACAGGCCAATTGTTGACAGACAGACGGACAGACAGACGGACGGACATTTTGTAATATAGACGGACAAGTGAGTGATTGCAATAGCTCACCATGTGAGCTAAAAAACCGAAGTCAGTCTTAACAGTATTTTGTTAAGTTATTGGAAGTTTTAAGAATTTGTTACAGACGCCAACCACTAACTGCCGATCACCAACCGCCACCCAACGATCACTGGTCAGTATCAAGATGCGGTAACGGCCATTACCTTCTCATCTTAGATGGTGGATGGAAAGTGTTGAAACTCTGGAGTATGACAATTTGTTCTTAAATCATACGGGGGCACCATGATTCGACTATATGTTACACCGCCTTCCATCCGCCATCTTAGATGAGAAGGTAACGGCTGTTACCGCATCTTGATACTGACCAGGGAACGATTGTCAACTGCCATCACAAAAAATGGAGACCATAACAATATGTCACCACTTTTTAGTGGTGACATAATGAGTCAAAATACAGGGTGACCCCAAAAATGCAACCCTCCATTTCTTCAATATTTTTCTTAAATGGGGGTTAATTGCTCTGAAATTTGGCACACAAGGACTTCATTCAATGTGGGATCCTCTGGCAAAGTTTCAATAATCATAGTCTTATATTGATAGAGTTATGGTCATTCCAAAATATGCTCCAAATGTCGTCCATTTCCATTGTAAGGTTTTCGGATGAATCACATTCCCTTCTTTCTGAACATATAAACTCAAGAAATAATGTGTTCTGGATCACAAATTCCAGATGAAGTGCTTCAAAGGCCCCTTCATTCTGTTAAATGCACAGCTTGGGCTGCCAATGTCCAAACATGAAATCATCAGCCCCTTTTGGTTTGATGTTGATAATGGCAACACTGTTACTGTCAACACACAGCGCAATATTGGCGTTCCCAGGAAGTTCTAGGCAGTTCTAGAATGACTAAAGGCTTCAATAACCAAGAACAGTGGTTCTAGAAGGATGGAAGTACTCCTCACACTTCTAATGATAGCATAGCCTGGCTAACTAGTCATTTCTATGAGAAGATTATCTCTCCTAGGACAGAAAACCCATGGTCATCCCACAGTCTTGATCTCAATGCCCCTGACTTCTATATGTGGGGTTATTTAAAGGATTATGTGTATGAAAATAACCCTACCGCAATTGCAGAACTCTAACAAGCAATGGCTGCAAAAATTTGAGTCATACCCATGGGGAAGAATGCATCCCGTGTTATGAACAGTTTTCCTTGAACATTGCAAGTTTGTTTTCAGCGAAATTGTCTACATCTGGAGCATATTTTGAAACAACCATAACTCTATCAATATAAGACTATGATTATTTAAACTTTGCCAGAGGATCCCACATTGAATGAAGTTCTTGTGTGCTAATCTCAGAGCAAGTTACCTCCATTTGAGAAAAATATTGAAGAAATGGAGGGTTGCATTTTTTTGGGTCACCCTGTATGAAGAAAAAAATTAAGATTTCTATTATGATAATGTTTCACAGGAGTTCTAGTGTGGAATGATCACAAAGTGTGGTTGATAATTCCAGGGATTGTCTATAATTTCAAGGCATTATAGAATTCAAAGAGAATTGTATACCCTCTGTATCAAAAGTATTTTCCTATTGAGGAAAACCTTAAACTACTTTTGTAAATGGCAAGTAAACTTAATGAAACTTTTCACACATAATTTAAGGTATTATACTCAAAATATCACATATAGAACATAACATACACCTTAAATACCGATGTGACTTTTTACAAGTTTTTGAAGTCAAACTTACCTTAGATTACCAAACTGACCAAAATCAGGTTGCTCTGCAAAATTATGCAGATAAGAGTCTTTCTATATATAAATGCTAATCATGAGCAGAATATGTTATTAAATATACTCTGAATGTCCTCATACACTTTACTTACAGCCCTAGACCATGTTATACTACACTTAACCTATTCCTGCCCAAAATTATTTGAGGAATTCAAAAACATATCATCACAATAAGCACTGCTATCATCAATATATCATGTCGGTGCATTATGATTCAGAATTATTGTAATAAAATGGAAATATGACAGATTCATTTTAATTAAATACCAAAATTACACCAAGAATATCTGGAAGGTAAATCCCTGAGACAACCAAAATACACATATAGGGTGTTCCAAAAGTAACAGGACTGGTGCTGGCATTTTGTTAAATATGCACCAATCGTCTTCAAAATTTTACATAATGTACTTTCATGTACCGTTACTAAAACTGCAAAGTTTTGACAAAAAATACGTAACTCGGGTCAGAGTTATGGTAGC